AGTGCTTGCTACATTAGCATAGGCACTTGCATTCTAACCTCTATTATAAACTGTAATAAACATTATTTATCTACAGATTAAAACAGCTTGCTACTGATGCCAGGATTGCTTGTTCCTCTGTTTGGTGTTTGTGTACTATAACAAAGTAGACAGGACACTGAATGCTGTTGCTACTTTATCCTCCCATATATTTTCTCATAAATTTTAAGTGAAAAAAGATGCTGAACTGACAACTCGGCTACCCCTATGTAGTCTTGATATGGTGACAGCAGCAACAGGACCAGCTCATCTCATTAGCTGTGATTCAGTTCTGTTCCTTACAGGCAACATGTTCCAGGACAAAGCTGGAGGCTCATTATCCCATTCACTCTCAACTCCTACCATGTTCCAAAAATATGAATATTTAAAGCATGCCTTAATACTGAAGTGTTTCAAAACACTAATGTTAGAGGTAGAATACACAGGAATTGGAATTAGAAGGGCAACGGAGCTGGGGAAGGGTCTGGAGCACAAGTGTGCTGAGTTCCCTTGTGGCTGAGGGAACTGGGGGTGTTGAGCCTGGAGAAAAGGAGGCTGAGGGGAGACCTTGTGGCTCTGTCCAAGTCCCTTGGAGGAGGGTGGAGAGAGGTGGGGGTGGGTCTGTTCAACCAAGGAACAAGTGACAGCACAAGAGGAAATGGCCTCAGGTTGCACCAGGGGAGGTTTAGATTGGATATCAGGAAAAAATTCTTCACTAAAAGTGTTCTCAAGCACTGGAACAGGCTGCCCAGGGAGGTGGTGGAGTCACCTTCCCTGGTGGTATTTAAGAAACGAGCAGACGAGGTGCTCAGGGACATGGTTTAGAGGTGGGACTGGTAGTGTTGGGTTTATGGTTGGACTCAGTGATCTTAAAGGTCTTTTCCAACCATGATTCTGTGAATACATTCTCAAATTAGGTGCTCACTGCTTTAAAAAGTGACGTTAATGTTGGCAAACAGCATGCCATGGAATTGTTATACTCATTCACATCTACTTGGGTTTCCTTTTTAAACGGGTCAGCTAAGTCAGAGTGCTCCACTGCTCCCCCCTGACAGGAACACACAGCGAGCTCCTGCCCTCACGCTGCCAAAAGAACACAGGAAACACGAGGCCTGCGCTTCGGATTCCCCTTCTACTCCACGTGATGCTATCTTTAATTTACAGCTCTGAAAACACATACAAACACACACACTTTATAAAGCCAGACCTCTCCTGCTGCTCTCCTCACCTCTCCTACTCATTTTCATGCTGGTCACTTTAGTTGTTCCAATTAAGAGATGAGACTTGCATGGAATTTTTTTTAAAACATTGTTTTTCCCAAGCCTCCAGCTGTTACCAACTTGCTACCAGCAGCTCTACAGAATATATATTTATAGCAGAAGTGGATTTAAAATATTTCAAACAATCCAACTAAATAGGAGAGTAAATCAAAACCTCTCAGTTCAGCTCTGTAAGAGGAATGACAAAGGATTTGCACTAAAGAAAAGGAAATACTGCTGCAGATGAGTGATAATAAATGCCAATAACCAGCTAAAATTTCTGCAGGTTTGTTTGTGTATATGTTTAAAAATTTTGCCTTGAAACTGTCATCATCCTGTGACACTCAAAATCTAGCAGCTATCAAATCTTGCTACAAAAGAAAGCATGTCCCACCTCCCAGGAAATAACACACTAGTGTAGTGGAAGGCAATAGTTTATCCCAAGGAATCCTAAATTCTGAGCATCATCCCCTTGTCACATTCCTCCTGCATAAAGCAATCGAGTCTGGGAATGTGTTTCACTCTAAACTGGCCACTAGATGGTGTTCCAGATACCAGCCTGTTCCTCACAAAAAATAGAAAATAATAATAAAAAAAACAAAATAAACAAAAAAACCACCACCCTTGAGAACATGGAGGCTTCAACACATTCACTGAACACAGACTCATGTGTTGCATGAGCTCCCACATAACAGTTTCTCTTATCCAACCTAAAACCAAACATAAGATTTTGATGAATTCATGGACATTGGACATTAGGAAGCAATTCTTTGGTGTGAGGGTGGTGAGACACTGGCCCAGGTTGCCCAAGGAAGCTGTGGCTGCTCCTCCCTGGAAGTGTTCAAGGCCAGGTTGGATGAGGCTTTGAGCAACCTGGTCTAGTGGAAGGTGTCCCTGCTGATGGCCGGGGGGTTGGGACTGGATGTAGAAGACAACCAGAGAAGACAACTGAAGCCAAAGTACAGTAACTTTTTGTGTCCAGCAGTGGCAGCACCCTGTCAATCACAATTTTCAACTTTAATTCATATTCTCTACAGGATGCCATCAGAAAAAAGGACCTAAAACTTCTGTATTTCTAAACTTCACTTTCACAATCAGCAGACACATCACTTACCTCCATTGCCTCAGTCTGCCCGTCTTTAAAACCATAACAGAGGTAAGACCTTGCTGCAGTGAAAGGTTTTCAGCTGTGTAATTAAGAGTCTTGTGAAATATTAAAAGAGCAGACTTCCATAATCAAGTAAAACATGTCTTCCAGACTTCTACCTACCCTACTTCTGAAGATATGAATGGATTAGAGAAACCACCACTTTCCAGGGTAGCTCATTTTAATGGCTAATTACCTTCCCTGTTAAAATTGGTGTTTTATTTCCCACTTCTCTTGCTTTACTTCCAACTATAAGGTCGAGGGGGGCAGGGGGTTGTCTGTGTTTATATCCTACTCCATTACTTTAAAAAAGTAAAAAATAAAATCAGTATTCCAAGCTCTGGATGTGACTATTCCCATAACCTCATCAGCTCTCATTCTTTCTTTTCATGAGCTAACCACACTAATCTCCTTAAGATTCATTCTGCAAGAACTTCAGAGCTCCTTCAGAGCTGTATTTACAGGGTTCTCCTGTTCCAAACTCTCCATGTCATTTTAAAAGGACTGCAGAATCACAAAAAGCATCCAAACTGATTTACAAAGAATGTATCTGTAAGACATACAGGGGTAAAGATCACATCCTGCTCCTATTCTTCTCTTATTCATTCCCAGTTTCCACTGGCTGCTACTACCTGAGGCACTTGTGTTGATCCCCATGATCCTTTCTGTCCCTTTAAAGTCACAGTGGAGGTAGAACACACTTCTTTTAGCATTGCAATAGTGATCTTTTGCCATTAATTTGCTTTTAGGTATCCTAAAATAAATTGTCTGAAGCCATCATTTATTAGGGAATCGATACTGTTTTGAATTACTGACCTGCTTTACTCAAACTTTCAAGAAACCAAACATATTAGCAACTACTTTTATTTCTACCTGAAATATCTTGTCAGCTCACTGGAAATATTTAATCTAATTCTAATAGAAACACTGTTATACTGTCATATTTCACAGTTCAATTTCTGGAGTAGGAAAACCAGAAATCACCCCCAAAAAAATAAATCCTCAGTTCAGAGCTAAACCACACGCTGGCAGATGAGCTGAGGCCACACCACTGGAACCATCATATATTTTAATAGCAAGAGTTCTTAAAAGCAACTCTTACAAAATTGCCCAAGCCCACCAAGTTAGTAGCTGTATTTTTATATATAGCATCAATATTAAACACGGCATTGAATATACTTTGCTCAATTCATGGGAATTGCTTTACCCAGGTCCTCTTTCTGGCAGATCCACTTCCCCTGACAAGGGGCTGTACACAGGAATACTGACGTCGTAGCCTTGGCGGTAAGTCCACGTGGAGAAGCCTCCACCAGCCAGCAGAGCCCTGAAAAATACAAGAAAGGAACTTTAAACAGAGTATGTACATCACTGAAACTCAGAGCATTAGTGGCATTACCAGAACATCAAGAAGATGCAGGCTCCCAGATAAGTTTTTCCCTCAGGTGTTGTCAGTGGAATTTTTCATGCAGTTTTTTGGGTTCACTTTAGTTTATTGAAGCTGGGCTTACTGCCAGCTCGGATCCAGTCATCAACGGAATGCTTACGACTGTGTTTGATCACTGAGGAATGGACCATTTTTGCATTAATATAGGGAAATTTAATCTACTGCAGTCATGATGATAATTCTGCATTTTTGCAAGCTGACATGTCCCACATAAATTTTCACAGAATCAC